GCGCCGCCAGGGGGACCCAGCGCCGATCCAGGAAACCCGTGAGGAGCTCTAAAAGTGCATAGGTATGTCGTTTCTTTGTTTTTCTGATACATTCCGGGCGACCCATCGGCCTCGACGCACCCCTCGGGAGATCGTCGATACGATGGGCTCCCCCGGGGGCGTCAGTGGCACAGCGCCCCCCGCTGTGGCTGGCCCGCTCTTTTCCTCTCGAGGCGAGCTCGGCTAGAAGAGGCGGTGCGGCTTAGGTCCGCGTTGCTTGCGCAGGGGGGTTCGGCCACTCGCAGAGGGGGGTAGGGGGAGGGGGGAAGGCTCCTTAAAAGCACCCTGCTTCTTAGAAGGCGCGGGCCTTGTCTGTAGAGGTAGGGCCAGCGCCTTCTGAGAAGAAGCATCCTTCTAGGAAGCCTTCCTCCCTTCCCCCTACCCCCCTGTGCGCGCCGCCAAGGGGTGAGGTAGGTTCGGTTGCAAATATTTGGAGCCTTGTACGTCGTTGGAATTCCGTCCTGTCCTTTGAGTACAAGCGTGCGCTAGCGTGGGATAATCGATGACACATTGCCGATATACCGTCGACTAGCATCTTCTGGCGTCGATCAGCGTCGATTTGCTTCGGTCAGTCGGCAGGCCGCTCACTGAAGGCCACTGTTGCCCAGGGCCACCCCTGCGCGCAGCCGGGAGAGAAGCGTCAGCGAAGGTGCCTTGGCGCGGCACGGGTCCGGACTGCGAAGACCGCAGCGGGACCACAGCGAAGACCGGCACGGTAGGACTCAGCCCGCGGCTTGCGCACTCGCCTTCGTCGCGGGCGCGCACGTGCGGAAACAGCAGCTCGCCCCAACAGAGCCCTAGGAGGAACACCAGGATTCGATGTTAGTGCCCCAGGGCCTGTGACAACCTGTCGAAGAGCCTCTTCCCCCCTCTCTCTCCTCTTGCTCCCCCTCTCCCCTTGCCCACCCCCTTTTGTATTGACAACTTCTCACCTTCCTTATTCCTCTCTTCCCAATCCTTCCTCATTCCTCTTCCATCATCCCTACTCTAACCTCTCTCTTCTCCTCCTCCTCCTCCTCTTCCTCCTCTTCCTCCTCCTCCTCTTCCTCCTCCTCTTCCTGCTCCTTCTCCTTCTCCTCCTCCTTCTCCTCCTCATCATCCTCCTCCAGCCCACCGGGGCCCGAGGTCTCACCGCGAGGGAGTTGGATAGTCATTGAGGTAGTTTCTTGCTGGGGGTTCCAGACAATCTCAGCAAACGCGCATGTCTTGCCCTAACTTCCTCGTGCAGCGGTTGGTCGGCGAGTGATGCTCCAGCTTCGCCTTCTCGGATGGAACCCCATGTAGTGTTGAGGGTCGCGCTTAGAGGAGCTGTTTCTGGAAACTCAGAATTACGACATCATTCTTCTTGCAGGGACCCAAAATCAGGATCGTCATCAACAGTACACAGGCAGCGTCGCATTTCGTCGTCAGATTGAAGCCGACTTGTCGGGGAAGCTTCGTGGGGGCCCCAGGCGCCGCTCTGTAATTACAGGTGTGGCTGCTCGGTGGTATTGGGTGGCGGACTCCAAGATGGCGGAATCCAAGATCGGCATATTCATCAAATTCTTTACGCTTCGCGTATCCCCACCAGCCCATCTCACAACAGCAACTCTTGCGAAGCATGCCGACAGTCGTGTTTTTCAGGCGTGTGTCCGCTTGGCCCCGCATATCTCCCCTGTTCCTCCTTCCTCCCGCCTCCTTGTACATCCTCCTTGTGGGGGGAGCGGGAGAAGGACGAGGCGGAGGAGGAGGGAGAGAAAGCGCTCCTCGTGATTTGAGTCGTTTGGGGTTTCTCGTCCTGGTGTGAGTCGTTCGGGCCCTTCTTCCTGGTGTGAGTCGTTCGGGCTCTTCGTGGTGTGAGTCGTTCGGGCTCTTCGTCCTGGTGTGAGTCGTTCGGGCTTCTCGTGGTGTGAGTTGTTCGGGCCCCTCGTCCTGGTGTGAGTCGTTCGGGCCCCTCCTCCTGGTGTGACTCGTTCGGGCTCCTCGTGGTGTGAGTCGTTCGGGGCCCTCGTCGTGGTGTGAGTCGTTCGGGCTCCTCGTGGTGTGAGTCGTTCGGGCGCCTCGTCCTGGTGTGAGTCGTTCGGGCCCCTCCTTCTGGTGTGAGTCGTTCGGGCTCTTCGTGGTGTGAGTCGTTCGGGCCCCTCGTCCTGGTGTGAGTCGTTCGGGCTCCTCGTGGCGTGAGGCGTTCGGGCACCTCGTCCCCTTTTGGGGCGTCTTGGGGGCCTCTTAGCGGCCCCAGGGGCTTCTAGGAGCGTCTTGGGTGCCTTGGGGGAGCCTCTTCGGGCCTCTTAAGAGCCTCTTGGAGGCCGTTTAGGGCGTCTTGGGGGCCTCTTGGCGGCCCCAGGGGTTTCCAGGAGCGTCTTGGGTGCCTCGGCGGAGCCTCTCGGGGCCTCTTGGGGGCCTCTTGGGGGCATATTGGGGGCCTCTTGGAGGCCTCTTGGGGGCCTCCTGGGGGCCTCTTGGGGCCATCTTGGGGCCTCTTGGTGCCTCCTGGGCGCTTCGTGGGGCCATCTTGGAGGGGATGGATCAAAGAAGAGGAGAGCTTTAATGAGCGCTGCCCCCTTCAGAAGGGCAAAATGATCCCAAAACCTTCGTAAAATCAATGATTTTGCCTTGAAGGAAGAGGTGAGCTTTAATGAGCGCTGCCCCCTCAGAAGGCCAAAATGGGGCCAAAACCGTAGTAAAATGAATGATTTTGGCTTCAAAGAAGAGGAGAGGGTTTTTTCTGCTCCCCCCCCGTCGGGACCAGAATCCTCATGAGGGGTGTCGTTGTTTAGCCCTCCCAGGAGTCGAAAATGACCCCCCTGACGACCCGCGAAAGGACCTCTCCAGGCCCAGGGGGAGGGGGTAGGGGGAGGGGTAAACCCCTCCCCGAAGGGGAAGAAGGGAGGTTGAGAACAGAGCGGGCTCTCTAAACCACTCACTCCCAAAGGGCTGGTGGGACTTCGCCTTCACCCCCCGAGGCCAGAGGCAGGGCGCTGGGCGCACGAATAGAGAGAAGCAGGTACGACGTCTGCGCCGTCTCCCTGTGCTGCCCCCTCTCGTCCTTCTCGCCTGTCGCAGCGCCCTCGTTACCTGAAGACGGTTAGCTTGCTGACCCGCTGGTTGGAGACTTTTCTCAAGTCTCTTCCTGTTCGGTGCACCCCGTTCGTCTTCTGAGTCTTCTGTGGCACTAACGACGGGTTGGGTATCCCCCTCTGGCTGCAAGTTCGCTGCTGACACGTCGGTCCTGAAGGCTGCCAGTCAAGAAAGGCATCGGGGAGGAAGGGGCGAAGCGACTTCGGGAAGTTCTGGGCCACATCGTTTCATCGCTGTCGACACGGAGAGGGACAGGGTGGTGCCCACGTGTTTGGCAACGGCGGGGGGAGCGCGCGCATCGATTACGTTCTGTTCTACCCTTTGAGCATGCGCGAGCAGATCACTCAATGCCAGGCTCTCCATGAGCTGGGGGCGAAGCTACGGGTTATCTCAGGGCCCTAGTTTCGGAATCAGTTGCCTATATCGCGTGCCATGTCGCACAGCAAGCATGTCGAGGGCCTGTCGGTCGAGGAGGGGAATGTGCGGTTGGACAAAAGCAGGATGATGCTCGCACATCGTAGGGGACATGACCGTCGTGAGTTTCTTGAGGTGTTAGTTAGAGTAGAGCTGAACCGTGTACCCTCCCCTTGGTTAAAAGATAACGGTTCCCTCGACGGTATCGTCGAAACCATCGGAAATAGCCGCTGCCACTGCATGCCAACAGCTTGTTCGGAGCAGGTGTTGGGCATGATGATTGTTACCGATCAGGCTGCGTTGGGCGTCGCGATCTCTAGTGGAGGAAAGTGGAGTTGCGAGGTGCGAAGATGAACGCGCATCCTCAGGAGATTCATGAACTTCCTGAAAAATTGAAGCGCCTTTCACATTAACTTAGGTTGTTCGCCGCCGCCACGCACGTGCACATCGGCCCCAGCTTGTTTCGGAAGCTTCGGAGCATTGGGAACAGGGCAGACCAGCTGAGGCGATGCGTCTCGCCCGGCGGGCCGCCAGATCGCGCATTGGACAGAAAAACGAGGCGGCCTGTTGGTGAAGGGAGCGCCTCCAACCGCCCAAGCTTGGCTCGACATATAGGGCCCCAGGTGGCCGCAGGAGCAATGGCGGGAGCGCAACAGGACTTGATTGGATGGAGTGGATATGGCAGCGTCAAGAACGGAAGATGGCGATCGGGTAGTTAACTATGCTCGTCGCGCAACACGTCATAGAGCGGTTCCTGGGTTCACGGCCCCCGTCGAGTTGCGGCACATGATGTTCACGCCTTGTTGGCGAATGCGCGATCATGATCGTCGTCGAAGACTGGGGGTCGACGCGAACCGACCACCGTCTAATTCGTGCATGTGGATTTTCCCTGCGGGCTCGAGTAAGCTACGCACGCATAACATCACGTCGTTGCACTGGCACCGCACGGAAGGGCAGGTCTCAAGAAGGCGAAACATTTTTCGGGCCCTCGGGGTCGCCGGGTCGCGCACGTTTTGCCATCGGCGGGGAAAGCTCACCACGCGTCGCCACCACGTCCTACTCCTACCTCGTCGGGCCATGGCCCTTGTGAAATATACAATGTCCGCGCTGATCTGTAAGCAGTGTAGCGTAGCAGGCAAGCAAGCAAGCAGAGTGTACTGACCTGTGCCGTGCTCTTTTGGGCTCAATCCTTTCCAGGGCCCTTGAGCTTGTGCGCATCGGCAGGGGCCATCGCGGGTTCCGCTAAGCAACCATCTTTCGCCATCCATTGCGGACATTATTGATATCATTGCTGTATCTTTGCTGACATACAACCTCGCGGTTATCATTGCACTACGACCCCGCTTCGCAGCATTGGGTCTACATTGGTAGCAGGAGCTAACTCGACCACGGCAACGTGCGCGACTTCGCAGAGCCAATGTAGGCACACTACAAGCTCGTGATTGCGACTGACGCCTCTGTCGGAGTTGCCGCCATGGCGACTACTGGAGGAGCCGCTGCAGCCAGCGGCGAGGACAAGAACAGCGGGGGCAAGATTCCCGCACCCGTCTTCGACGGCACGAGCAAGACAATGAAGAAGTTCAGCCGAGAAGTCGCCACCTGGCAGATTGGCACCGAGGTCGAGCTGCCCAAGCACGGCGCGACGCTTTTGGCCAGCCTCAAGGGCGAGGCCGAGGAGGCGCACGAGGAGCTCGACCTGGAGACCATCAAGGGCGACGACTCGGTAGAGGTTTTCTTGGAATACCTCGGGAAGCGCTTTCACGAGATCTCAGCATTGGAGTTACCAGCGCTCCTGGAGACACTCGCGATGCCGGCGCGCGCCCGGCACAGGTCTGAGGAGATCCGCGATTTCAACAATCGCTTCAACAGCAAAGCGACGCAGCTGAAAGCTAAGGACATACCGGTGCCCGACGAGGTCTTGGCCGACCTGCACATCAAGGGCGCCCGCCTGCCACCAGAGCGCGCGGCGAGCGTGCTCAACTGCGCGGGCAACAAGTTCAATCCGACGAAGATCCAGGAGCAGCTCATGATCAATCTTCCCAAAGCATCGGTCGCGGACGGCCACAAGGAGCATCACCACGACAAAGGCGGCTACGGAGGTCACAAGGATGACCACAAGATGGCGCACGCCACGGAGGCCCACGACGAGGCCGAGAAAGACGGCGCGTCCACCGACAGCTCCGAGGGCTACGACGACGACTAGCCGGACGAGCTGCAGGACGTGATAGACGAGGCGGAGAAGCAGGTGGCTTTCTCCACCAAGAGGATGGCGCGCGCCAAGGACAAGCTAAAGGAGGCCAAGCAGGCGCGCGGCTACTTCGCCAAGCGAGACGGCGGGCATCCTCCGAAGAAGGACGATGCCAAGATCGCCAAGATGAAGGCGAGGACGCACTGTGGAGCTTGTGGCCAGAAGGGCCACTGGCGCGGCGACCCGCAGTGCTCCAAGGAGAACGACCCCAACGCGAGGGCCGACATCCCGCGAAAGGGAAGTCACAAGACGAACATGACTGCGAACGACGGGGCCGGCGACGCGCAGGAGCCCCACGTCGCGGAGATGACGGTCGCGGCGGTCTACCAGCACGAGCAGCCGAGAGCGGCGCGAAATCGGAGGAAGGTCACCTTCGGCAACGCGCTGCACGACAGTGACTGGACGAGCCTGCGCCAGCGGGCCAACATACCCGAGGAGTTGACGGCCGCCTCGTTCTACATCAACAGGGACAATCAGCGCCTCATGGCTGCGACGTGTTCGGCGCTCATCTACATCAGCGCCGAAGACCTACTCAAGGAGTCGGGCGGCAGGCTGACTTTCGACACCGCCTGCTCGCGGTGCGTCGGCGGCCAGGACTGGCACAACGATGTCAAGAAGAAGATGGCGGCCTTCAACATCCAGCCGATCGAGTACCCGGAAAAGGAGCCGTTCCGCTTCGGAGCGTCCAGGGTGGTGTACGGCCTCAAGGCGGCGCTGATTCCCTGCTCGGTGAATTGCAAGGCCTTTTCCGTGCGCGTGAGCATCGTGCGCAGCGCCGTGCCGGGACTGTTCAGCCGCCAGGCCCAGAGCGAACTGGACGTCGTCTACCACGCGGGGGGCAACAAGCTGGACATCTCAAGTCCGTCAACGAGCACGGCATCCAGATGGGTTTGAGCCGCGCCGGACACCCGACGCTTGAGATTACAGGCTGCACGCCAAGCTACAAGCGCGTGTCGGACGTCTCGGACACCAGGACCGAGATCCGGCTGCATCCTTTTGCGACTTACCACGCTGAGACAGCCGTGGCCAGCGCCGCCAAGCCGGCAGCGCCCGAGCGCTGCGACCAAGGAGTCGCCTCGGAGGCCGACGAGTCTCAGTCGGAGACTGACTGCGACGAGCTCGATAGCGCTGAACTGTTCGAGCAGCAAGTGCGCCTCCATCGCGTCAGTCATCATCGGGGTCGGAGGATGAGACATGGGAAGTTATTCCTACGTCCGCCAGCGCAGCACAAATCATGCAAACCGATCACACAGGACGAGGAGCTAAACCAGACAGCGACCCTCAGCCACAGCGTGTCCGATTCCAGCAGCAAGCAAGCGGTAGCAAGCTACGAGATCAGCCATCAGCACGGAGTGATCGAACGGCATCATCACCGCAGCCATCCGGCTCGAGCTCATCTCATGTTCCAACAGTTTTTACGACGCGCACCGTGGCAGATCCAGCCACCGCAGCTTTTCACGAACCAGCGGCCGGAGTTCATGCCCCCGTCGCAGCGGAAATGTACGACATCTCCCAGGGCGACGAACCCGGAAGCCAGCTGCTCGAATACGCCGACGCCGAGTACTTCCCGCCTGCCGGCGATCTCCAGCATGCGGATGGGGGACCTACAGGCGGAGGTGGCAAGCTACGAGTTGGATGTGCGCGACGCGACGTGCGACCAGCTCCGCGCCATCCTGCGCGCGCTGAGGGCCGAGGGCCAGGACAAGAAGGCGCAGGACATCCCCGGGCTCGGCAAGATGCACAAGCACGAGCTCCAGGAGTTGCGCAGGATGAAGGACATCGATTACGACCAGCACACGACCGTGCCGGAGCTCAGGCAGCGCCTGAAGGGCTGGAAGGTCGAGAACGCGGTCAGCGGCACCGAGAGCAACGTGGCCCATCCAAGCTCGCAGATCACGGGGAACGACAAGATGCGCTTCGGCAAGTACCCGACCGCGGATTACCGCTGGGTGCTCAAGAACGACCTGGGTTACGCGCGGTGGGCGGTGCTGGAGCTGGACAACGGCCGGGCGAGCCCGCTCCTGGCGCGCTTCGGCAGGTGGGTCCAGGCTCACGGAGTGAAGCCGCTCGAGCCAGAGAAGGCCAAGACCGCCATCGAGGCGGCGAGGACGACGTGTCGGTGACGCCGACGGCGACGACCCAGCGGGCCTTGGCAAGCCAAGGCAGCTGGGCGGGTCACCGCCGCCCGAGGCCGGTCGAGGGGCACGAGATGCGACCACGGCTTCCAGAAGGCGGGCGAGACCGTCCAGGAGACGGACGCGGCGTCTCCGCATGACAGGGCCTAGGCGGCGGCGGCCGCCAGGACCAGCCGCCAGCCTCGGGCCGGCGGCCAGGCATCAAGAAGGGCAAGCGCGTCGGCCTACTCTACCAGGTCACGGGCTTGCTGAGCGCCTTCGCTTTTTCAGGCGGTGCTCACGGTGGACTGGCTGTCCCAACCTCTCAAGCCGTTCGCTCAGTATACGACGAGCGCCGCGCTGGACGTGGCGGACCACATGAGGAAGTCAAGGAGGTCTACACCGTCCGGAGCCACGGCGTGGACGTCATGCAGGTGTTCGGAGCCGAAGGCGGTATTACCGAGGCGGCAGTGCGCCGCAACATGACAGCCACGGAGGTGATCGACCGTAAGTACGGCTGGGACCTTCGCAAGCAGATGGACCTCGAGATGACGCACGAGCGGTACGACGCATCGAGGCCGAAGTTCGCGTCGATCGAGCTACCCTTCACCTACTACATGAACATTACGCACCTCAACTTCCGCACGCCGCAGGGCAAGCAGGCACTACGGCGATTGTGGCGCGCAGAGCGGCCATTCCTTCTCTTGGCCCGCTCTTCCAGTCTCAGCTCGATTCAGGCGGCATCGCCATGATCGAGAACCCGGCCACCAGCCGGATCTGGACACAGCGCATCATGATGGAGCTACTTGCCGACAAGCGCGTGTACTAGGTGTGGTGCGATACGTACGAGTACGGGGCTCGACACTACAAGACGAGGGGGCTCATCAAGCACCCCACCAAGCTGCTCCTCACCCACAAGGAGTTCGAGCGGCTACGCCGCACCTGCAGCCACACGCACCACGACCAGACGTTTGGGGGCAACGTGGCGGGGCGGAAGTGTGGCGTTTATCCAGCCAAGTTCTGCCGAGAGGTGGCGCGCATCGTCGAGCAGATCATTCGCCAGCAGGGTGGGCCTCGCGCCTACCAGGTGGACTGCAGCGCTTCCTCGTCGCCCTTCATTGCGACGGAGTTGAAGGAGCAGGCCACCGCCCACGTGAACGACATCACGCCCCTGGGAGAGACGGGCGAGCCGATTGGGGGCCCAGACCCCATGGGCGGCGAAGACGACTTCGCCGACACTCACGACGTGAAGGCCGACGAGACTGTGGACGGCAGGATCGGGGCCGGCGCGATCAATTTCACAGAGAAAGCAGCAGCCTGCTGCAAGCCAGCCGAGCTGGTCATGCTCAAGAGACCCCACGTCGACTTGGGCCATCCGTCCAATGAGGACTTGGGCCGCAGTCTGCGACTCAAGGGCGCTAAGTCGGCCACCGTGCAGGCCGTCAAGAGGCTGATCTGTGGAGTGTGCCGCTCGCAGCAGCGCCCGAGCGCAAGGAGACCAGCGCACCTCCACTTCGTGCAAGATTTCGGCGACGACGGGGCTTCGATTGCTTCGAGCTCAAGGCTTCGACGGCAAGAGCTACTAGTACTTCGGCATCGTCGACTTGGCCACTACCTTCCACGTCGCGACGCTGATCGGTCGCCACACCAGCCAGGAGTTCGCTACGGCCTTCGAGAGGTGCTGGGCCTCCTGGGCCGGCGTCCTGGACCGAGTCCACTTCGACATGGAGAGGGGGTTCGGCGGCGTTCTCAGCGAGCTGCTCCAGTCTTTCGACACGGTGCAGCTACCTATCGCTGGACAGGCCCACTGGCAGCTCGGTCGAGTGGAACGTCAGGGAGCCTGGTGGAAGGAGCTCGCTGCAAGGACGATCGAGCACTTGTCGATCAGGGGCGAGGACGGGATGCGGACGCTGGGCATCGTGGTGTCGGACGCGAAGAACTCGCTGACGAGGCGGGCCGGCTTCAGCCCCGCGCAGTGGGTGCTGGGACGCGATCCCAAGATGCCCGCCGACCTGGTGGACGACACGGCCAACTACAGCGCCCACAGTCTCGCCACCAATGACGAGAAGATTCGCCGCCGATATGTTATTCGGACGGCGGCGCGCGAGTCGTTCATGCGGATGCAGAACGACAACCAGCTCAGACGAGCTATGCTGGCTCGCGCGCGCACCGTGGCCACAACCTTGTCAGTGGGCGAGATGTGTTACATTTTCCGCAAAGTCAAGAAGAAGTAGCAGAAGGAGCAGCACAACCGCAACGCCAAGAAGGGCATCTGGCGGGAGCCGCGCTTGGTCATCGGTCACCACGGCAACAACACCTGGGTCTCGCTGGGAGGGCACACCATGCTGGTGGCCCCGGAGCACATCAAGGCGCTCGCTCCGGACGACGTCTGGTTCCCGAACGGCCGGGGCGAGATCGGCCAGGCCGAGCTCAACAGGGCTCGCGACTCACTCGAGCAGGAGGAGGCCCAGGTGGAGGACATCCGCCCCGAGCCAGGCCAGCCCGAGGTCCAGCCAGACGAGATGGAGCAGGCGTGGCGTGAGTTCATCGACAGCCCAGACGACGACGACCTGAGGCTGAACGTTCCTGAGGACCCGAAGCCCCAGGATCAGATCGAGGTGCTGCCCGCCGACCGAGCCGACATACCTCAGTCAGCCTTGGAGGAGCAGCCCTACGGTCCCGTCGAGTTCCGACGACGGCGAGCGACCTTCGACGGGACGGACAGCGGCGACTTCGGCCCGGCCCTCAAGCGCCTGCAGACCGCCAAGGAGCACGCGGGCTCCGGAGGACCGCCCCCGAGGACAGCCTCGCACGATCGGGCGGCCGTGCCCGACGGCGGAGCAGCGGCCGGATCCGAGCAGGAGGGCGCTAGAGAGCGTTCGAGGTCGGCTCCCAGAGAAGCTATGCAGACCTCCATCGTCACCGAGAGGCCGAGAGGATCAAGCGCAAGCAAGCCGACAAGGAGATCCACCAGAGGGCCATCAAGGACTCCGACAGGGAGCTCTACCGAGGGGCGGCGGCCAAGCAGTGGAGCGAGTGGCAGAAGTACGGATCCTGTCAGGTGCCCACCATCGAGGAGTCCGAGGCGGTCAGGGGCAGGGCCAAGGCCAACCTCATCTTGCCCAGCCGGTTTGTGTACCGGGATAAGAACGCGCCGCTGCGGACTGACAAGCACCCGCTGCGGGTCAAGGCCAAGGCCCGACTCTGCGTCGGGGGTCACATGGACCCGCGTCTCGCTCAGGGCGACTTGCGCACAGACGCGCCCACGGTCACCCGCAACTCGACTATGCTGTTCTTTACCGTCTGCCAGAGGTTCCACTTGGATATTTACGCAGCGGACGTGGAGGCGGCTTCCATGCAAGGCGACGAGCAGCCCGACCAGCAGTTGCACATGGCTCAGCCCCGCGAGGGCTTACCTGGGTTGCACCCGAAGCAGTTGATCAAGATTCCCAAGGGAGTCTTCGGGCTAGCCACCGCACCGGGACAGCGGTGGGCTAAGCTCAACAGGACCTTGCTTGCGGTGGAGGAGAAGCTAGGTGACTACGTGTTCCGCCTTCGCCAGCTTTCGCTGGATCCAGCGCTCTACTACGGCTACGACAAGCACGGGGAGCTGTGCGCGGTGGTGGTCGCCCACGTGGACGACCTGCTGCTGGGCGTCTCGCCCAAGTACCCGAGCCTGTACGACCGGCTCTACAAGCTCCTGCCGTGGGGCGACTGGAGAGGCTTGCCATTCACCTTTTGTGGCAAGCAGGCGCGGCGCGATGAGGAGGGGGCCCTACGCCTACGCCAGACGGAGTACGCGATCACGATCGGGGAGATCGCGCTCAGCAAGGAGCGCAAGACGAAGCTGTCGGCGGAGGCGACGCCTGCCGAGTTTTCGGATAACTGCTCCGCCCTCGGAGCGCTTGGATGGCTCTCATCGCAGACTCGACCAGACCTATCAGCTGGAGTGGCCATGTGACAGCGCACCCAGAACAAGCCCACCACCCAGGACCTGCTCGAGACGAATCGGCTCATCAAGCTGGCGCGGAAGCACGCGGACGCGGGACTTGAGACCCCCGAAGCTACGTGGACCGCTTTGCCTGGTCACTTACCACGACGCCAGCTGGGCCAATGCTGACGATCCACCTGAAGGTGTCATAGCTGCGCTTCTCACCAAGATCGTGGGCAGCAAGGACAAGAGGATCAAGATCCGCTCGCAGGCCGGCTACGCGACGTTCATCGCCGAGGCCAAGCTGTTGCGCGGCGACAAGGCGGGAGCGGGAATCGTTGATTGGCGATCAAGCACCATCAAGAGGGTTTGCAGATCTACTTTGGCAGCTGAGACGATGTCAGCGGTAGACGCACTAGGCTGTGTTCAGTTTTCGCTTCGCTGGAGATACGGGATGCTGATTCGGAAGATATCCCACCGAGTTTGCTGCCGCTTGCTCAGTTTACAGATTGCGCTAGCTTGTACGATACGGTGCACAAAGACGGTTACTCCAAGCCCCCGTCAGAGCGGCGTCTTTTGCTAGACCTAGCCCCAAGGAGTCACTAGGAGAGGAAATAAGTAAAAACAAATCGTTGCCGACGATCAGGGTAGCTGGCTGCCTCTCCTTTGGGTTCCGACCGACCAGCAGCTCGGAGATCAGTTCACCAAGCGATCTGACGGCAGTGCCATCAGGGCAGCGCTGCGAGATACACGCCTCGCATTGCAGCATCAAGAGCCAACCGACCAGGCCCGAGAGCACGAGGCACATATGAACAGTGCGGGCTCGCTTCTCAAGCGCGCCATCCGCCTGGTTTCAGGATAGAGCGCAGCAGGCGCTCGGCTTCAGTTTAGTTGATTGACGTGAGATTTGACACGTCTAAACGATCTAAGACCAGAGATGCACACATCAGAATAATTTTGCGCGAGTGTGAAATATTTAGTGCCCGTGCTGATCTGTAAGCAGTGTAGCATAGCAGGCAAGCAGGCAAGCAGAGTGTACTGACCTTTGCCGTGTTTATTTGGGCTCAATCCTTTTCCAGGGCCCTTGAGCTTGGGCGTATCGGTAGGGGCCGTCGCGGCACCCGCTAAGCAACCATCTTTCGCCATCCATTGCGGATATTATTGATATCATTGATGTATCTTTGCTGACATACAACCTCGCGGTTATCATTGCACTACGACCCCGCTTCGCAGCATTGGGTCTACAGCCCCCTTAAGAATCGGAGGCGGCAGGGTGCGGCATTGGCAGTGCCAGCGACGAGTTGGAGAACTCGACAATCTAACTGGACCCACGCCCTTACCATTAAGGATATGGGCAATGCTTTTGGAAGCTCGGAGTGGGAAGAAATTGACGAGGCGGTTTTGACTGGGCGCCGCGGAGCGCGACTGGGCGATCTGCCCGCAGAGATCGGAATTCGGTCAGCAGCCTCGAAGCGCTAGAAGCCGGATCACGCGTTAAACCAGGCGTAGGCAACACCACGAGGGGGGCCCGTTCGCGGTTAAGTTTTGCGTCGGCACGGCCCCCCGCCCCGTCTTTCAACGGTGGTATAACCTGCAGAGCGCAGATCCACAACCCCGCCTTCTTCATGCGATCTGTGAAACCCGTGGGGTCTCCGCCTGCACGAGTGCGTTGATGACATCAACACGATAGTCTAGCGAACCCAGAGATGTCCTTTGAAGACTTCATCGCTTAGCTCATATCTGCTGCCCAGACCTTCAATCAGAGTACGCGCGCCCATGGTTACGGCCAGAACGCGACACATACGCATTTGCGATTGCAGTTTCCCCGCAGAGGTTACACATGCAAGCATGAATTTCGCACGGCGGGGACTTCGCGGGGCCGAAGTTCAGCTCCAAGGGAAAGTTGAAGATGAAGTTCGCGATCTAGGGCTTTGTCTTTCTACGAGTGAATCCGCACGTAGCGAGGTTTATCGACGGTGTTCGGAGGCTCGAGGGCGCCCTGCTTCTCTGGGACGCACTCGTGGTCCGGTTTCGTGCAAAACTCGCTCTTGAGCTGCCTCGAGGGTTTTTTTTTCCCGTCGCTTAGCCAGGCTAGTAGGACGGGCGGCGACGGGAGGAGCGGCAGACCATGATTGGCCCCACGTGAAGACCATTTACAATAAGCAAGTGCTTGCACGCATTCAACTAGCGTCGTCCGAGACCGAGCGGCTCGTCCGCAAGCTTTTGACACATCGGAGTTGGAGTCGCCGCCCCGATGATCATGGCCAGGTGCTCTGCGCTCTCTTCGGGGCGGGGGGGGTCGATAAGTTCCGACCTCAGCTCCTTGGAGAGCGACCGACAAAGCGGGCATCTCCGTGGACTCGTCAAGTGGCGTCGGCTCTTGAGATTGCCAATCGGCGTCTTTCGCGCGACGGCGCGCGCCGTGTCGCCGGGAAGCTTCGCTTGCTGATTAGTCAGGAACTGTCGGACGAGTTCGTTCGCATCGACATGACTGAGCGTCGAGCTGCAGTCATCTCGGCTCAGATCCCCCCGCCAGAATCTCGTGCTGTACGAGCTGAGGAAAGTTCCAGTGGTTCCAGAGCCCGTTGAACTCCCGTTCGTTTGGTGGGCCAGTGAAGGAGGGGATCCCTTGTAGTTTTTCATGCTTCTCGTAATGGGATTACATGGTCATGGTCGGCAGCATCACCAGCTTCGGAGTTTCATGCATATACTAGCCTCTACCAACATCTGCATGCACCGCCACTTTTTTTCCGCGCAGATTACTGCTGCTGGGTATTTGGTGAGTTCCTTGATTCGGGGGCATTGCGCAACGTGCGGCCCGCATTCGCTGGCCACATTACAGACTCCGTCTTCACGCGGCTGCCCCAGTTGCGATAACGAGGGGTCCGTCACCATTACGCTCTGTCGCAATTTGGTCGAACACCTTCCTGCGCCTCGTCAACCATTTCAGCCTGGGCCGCCGTTCAGCGTCCGCGATGGAAGCAAAGTCGGTCGCAGCGGCTCCGCCCCGGCACGGGGGGCCAGCCCTGGACGGGGGCCGGCCCCGCGGGCGAGCCCAAGGACGGCCGCAAGGGCGGTGGCGGCCGCAAGACGAACACCATCGCTCGTCTGGTTCTCACCAGTTCGAGGGAGATCACGAAGACCATGGCGCCCGTCTCCCTGCGCTTCGCCATTGAGGTTACGCGAGGGTTCGCGTCCGCGGCGACGGCCTCGGGACGGGCCCACAGCGAGGAGCCCAAGAAGCTCCGCACCAAGATGGGCAACGGCGAGACCGAGAATCATCGGCTGGGCGGCCTTCCGCTT